GAGTACGAATTCACATGTGAATACCGGCCCGGCGCACGACATGCCAATGCAGACGCGCTTTCCAGACTTCCTGCATCGGACGAAGTGAACGCGGTTTTACGTTATCTAGAGGGGGATGAAGCATGGGCCAATGACCAGTCTGATGACCCTTACATCTCCAACATATACATGCGTCAACTGGATGGATCGTCGAAACCTTCTGGGATCGAAATGCAATCTCGATCAGCGGATGAACGTGCGCTCTGGGGACATTGGGGTAGTTTGAAGGCCATCGGTAGAGTTTTGTATTTGCTGGATAAGTCTGGTCCGAAACTTATTACTCCGACGGTGCGAATACCACCTGTTTTACAGAAAGTTCACAATGAGTTAGGCCACGCAGGTCAGAGGAAGACGGAAGCTGCTGTTCGCCAACGCTACTGGTGGCCGGGGATACACGCCGATGTTACCAAGTTCTGCAACGAATGCGACATTTGTACTTCTGTGAAGTCACCTGCAACCGTACCGCGAGCTCCTCTGATGCCCATGGTCACTACCGCACCGGGTCAACGCATTGGGGTAGATCTGATGGGCCCTCTCCCAATCACGGCGAATGGGAATCGACACATTTTAGTCCTCGTCGACTACTTTACGAAGTGGTGCGAAGCAATTCCAATCAAACAACCCGATGCAGCAACGGTCGCATCCGCTTTTGTAAACGAATGGGTTGCTCGATATGGCGCCCCATTGTCACTTCATTCAGATCAGGGCGCTGCTTTCGAGAGCCAACTGATGCGCGAAGTTTGTCGGCTGCTCTCTATCAGAAAGACGCGGACTACACCCTATCACCCCCAGGGAAATGGACTGGTTGAGCGTACGAACCGAACTATCAAAGGAATCCTCCAAACTTTTATTGAACGGCAACAGACGAATCGTTGGGATGAGCTTTTACCACAGTGCATGATGGCTTACCGTGCGGCAGTGCATGCAACCACGGGCTACTCTCCAGCTTATCTGACACACGGTCAAGAGCTTCGGTTGCCGGTAGAACTGATGTCTCCGATCCCACCGCTAGAGGCTTGTTCTCTCTTGGAGTATGTACGCGATCTACGGGAGCGTCTTCGATCTGCGTTCCTCAGCGTCCAGCTAAACATGAGAAATGCGCAAAACCGCCAAAAACGGTGTTACGACCAGCGCTGTCTCGGGCCAGAATACCACGTAGGAGATCATGTGTGGCTGCACCGACCGAAGCCTCCTGCAGGCGCGTCCAGTAAATTTCATCGCCAATGGCAAGGCCCTTACGAAATTGTGTTTATCCGTTCCCCCACGGTATATGTAATTCGGAGTGTCAATGAGCCGAGATCAGACGTTTTAACTGTTCATTACAATCAATTGAAACCAGCTACTTCGTCATCGAACTCTGCACCATCAGACGGAATAGTTCCCCCGGGATGCCTGCCTATGGTGGAAGGAACTGTAGAGATACCACCCGAAGGCGGGATGGCTACGGCAGCAGACACGTAGGCACTGAGGGCAGTGCCCAATACAGGAGGGGGGCAGTGTAACGAAACCGAAACTGTAATGGGATTTTGAACGAACCGCCACTTTTAACTCTCTTTCTTCTTTCCTTTTTCAGACTCGAACACGTTGAGCAATGAATGAATCGTTATGAACATGTTTCCCATTTGACGCACCTACGGACTTTTTATACCACTTTTGAACGACTTGCGTTTGTTTTGTTTTGATTGTACCTTCGTTGTTGGTTGTCGGAGATACACGTTGCTGTTTCCCATCGTGTTCTTCCTTCCGTGGTCTGTGACTGCCCGATTGGTTGCATCTCTTCGTGCTGCGTTCGCTGGATATCTTGACGCTTCTTCCTCATCCGATTGCATGTGTTAACGCATTCATAGACTAGTCCAGTTACTGTCGTGTGTGTTTACTGTGCGCTCCATTTCAGCCCGATCGTCTCTCGGCATTTCAAACCTGCTCTGACGGAACCGTTACAAAATGAGTCTAAGTTGGACCTGTGTTATTAAATAAGTAAATAGTGCACTCGGTTAGTCAGAAAATGAAGAATAGCCACTTTAATGGAGTATATGAAGAGTGATACACTTAAATAGAAGGGAAAATGAATATTTTTCTTACCTCAGATGATACTATGTGATTTCTTTTTTGGGAAGCGACTGGATAGAATGGTTAGCGTACCCCGAGAAATACGTGGACAGGAACGGAAATGGCTGTGAGAATAATATGTAAATAACGGGGTAAACGGATGTGTCACGAATAGGCAAATAACCATGCGATATGTGAATACATGTTTACATATGGGACTTGATACTGACTGCGTATTTCCAAAGGAAAATTAACCGGAAAGCGTCAGTTGCATATACGAATGCCTGGGGAGCAGTAAGTTAAGTGATCCAGGGTGAAAGGGAAGTGAAAATGCATGTTGGTCCCTGGTCAATATGTGGTGGCTAAACGCTCACAACGGCGGAATGAGCTTTCATAGGGTACATAAATGGTTGATGACACCTTATATATATATATATATATATATATATATATATATATATATACATATACATATATATATATAAAGTTGCAAAATTAGAATGCATATGTTTGTAATTAGGCATGTGCAGTTAATTCAGACTGCACTATGTATATATAAATGTACGCGTTATTGACCTCAATCCCATATATATATATATATATATATTTATGGATATAGGTTGATAAGGCGTACATTTATGTATATATAATGCTATCAGAAAGGGAATGCATATAGTTAATTATAAATATATGCATTCCTAATTTTGCAACTTTAACATGATTAGAAATGGTATTGCGCCTCCAATTTATCCATGCTTGTATGTTTATGTAGAAAGACATTTGTACGCGTGTTACGGTAACACTGATCATCAGTTCTATTGCATTTAAGGTGGCGGCACGTTAGTAGTCCCCGCTAGGGTTACCCAATGCAATCCCCGCAACTGGACGTCAGTGGATCAAGGTATACTTTTTTCATTACAGAGATATAAATGACCTTATCCGTACGTAAATGAGTATATAATTAAGTATGTGCCTGTCACTTTTCATGGAGTTTAACCGTTATCTGCAATGGTGCATATCAAGGTGTCAGGAGTATAGTAAGTAGGTTACGCATTTTATTAATAAGCTAATACCGTTTTATGAACAAAACTAAGGGAAATTTCCCACACCCAGTATATGCGGAAGTTATAGGCAGCATAGGGAATAATAGGATGGCAAAAGGAAGAAGGAAAAAATCAATGAATAGTTTTGCGATGTTTTCAGACAAGAAGCCCACATATATACGCAAGACTATAGGTAGGTTTGTGCCCCATGCTGAGGCTGATGTCGCTTTCATGATGCTTCTTCACGGCAGTGGGGCTAAACCAACTTACACCTAAACTAGGTCTTTTTAATGTGAATACAATTCATTACATTTTATTTTATTTTTGTTCTGCCTACTTGATAATCGTCTCCCAAATTACACATGTTGCTCATGCTAATTGTGGTAAACTTGCGTAATTTTATCGCACGGTATATTTTTAAAATAACTTTCGGACATTTTTTACTTATCGCGTATTCACATTTAACCGATTTCTTCCGTATGCTCATTTAGCGAGTATTTATGTCGTCATATGCATTTACTTTATTCGATATCGGCATTTCGAATGATTGGCTGTTGGTTGACATCCCAGGTGTGTCTGAGCTTGATGTGCATGTTGACGAGGTGCCTACCTGTCTACTACCCATTACCTCGTCCATCTGGCTCCAGGAAACAGTGGGTCGTTGCTGGAGGGGACGGGGTGCACTGTCCTTGTGGCCGTGCTAGGCTCGAAGAGTGGTTCCATGCACTCAGTGTGGAGCGGACTACGGTCCAGCCACCGCCAAGTGTGCGGTTGATTCCCCAAATACAGCCTGCTTGTGTTTGCATGTGATGGAGTGTGGGCCGGCTCCGTTGATGGAACGTGGCTCCCATCCACATGCCTCCCGGTCTTATTCCCCCGGGTTTACACTGGATATAGGATGTGTGGATGGAACTGTGGGTGGTGCAGCGCAAGCCATCCATGGTCCCTCTGTAGGCGCAGGCGTCTTGTGACTGGTCACAGTGACAGGGAAATCCGAAACCGGATGCCGCCAACCATAGGTAGGTTTACGTTCCTGCGAACGTGACTGGTACATAGTAAGGCCATATGATTGCTTCACGGGTGGCATTTGTTTGTTCACTGAACCGCCCTCCAGTGTTGGCCGCGATTGGTTGCACGAGCGTTGCATGGAAAAGTAGCATGGGTTCTATAGCAGCAGTGTCATAAAGATCAGTAAACAGGTAGGTATTTTTGGCTTCACTGCGGTAAAGGAACGGCGCTTAGTAAGTCTATGTACGTTCCACAGGGAAGCCTAATTTTGGCCTACAGCGACAGTTATGTTATCGGCGCCAGGAGCCTAGATGAACGGCCTTCACTTATGCTAATTGTGTTCCATGATATTTGCATCCATATGGGCTCTAGAGAAGCCTCATATACTTGCTGCACCTGTCTTGAGGGCTGCTTATTAGTAGTGCTATATTGGTCGCAGAGCATTGGTGTCGTTATCGGACCCAGCATAATCGCCGTCGTTGGAAACAAAGTCCTTAAATACGGGCGGTTACTAATACCATAATGGCCCAGCAGCGGCGGTATAGCAAGCACTGTTAACGCAGGAAAACCGAATGCATCTGCACGCCCACAGGAATGATTTTATATTCTGCCACTATGGAAGTAGCAATGACTGGTCTCAGAGGCGTTCTTGACTGGCAGTATATAAGTTTACGTAGGTCTCACGTTGGTGGACACATAATCGGCACGGGAGAGGACTGCGCTATAGGCGGAGCGCGCATCCATAACCAGTGGTTATGAAATGCATATAGGTCGCATAGAAGGCATTATTGTTGCTAGGAGGGAAGCCACAGTGGTACCCTTAGTCAATGCGATAAAAAGAACGTAAGTAATGCGCCTTGTTAACGCTACTGCTACAACTGGAATGGAGTCACGTGGCTTTTCATTTCTTTCCGTCATTGTATGCAACTGCGTTGAATGCAGTATGCTGAGTAATCGTGACAATATGGAAATGGCAACGAGAAAGAGACACAAATGGAGCGCTGACGTCTGTACCGATTCCGAATATTCACTTCATCCTGGGGAGCGTGTGAGGCGCTCTTGACCCACAACGCGCGAACACTGAGGAATGGTAAATGGAAATTAATTCGGTAGACACACATGAAAGCAATATGCGTAGATGTAACGCGGGGTTGACTTACTCAATCACATGGAAGCGATGTAGCGCATCTCACGATAGTGGAGTGCATGGTTCACGTCATCAATATCTTAGACGAAATTACCAGGAAATAAAAAATAACGTACTTCGGTGGTAAACGTTTGATAATTTTTCATTGCGGTGCCACCCGTCAACAGGAGAAGAGGGTGCATACGGGCAACTGGCCCATCGAAGCTACAAATTCCACCATTGCTAAACTTTTGGTCTGGCATTGTCACCTACCTTGTCTAGAAGTTGATTTCGGAAATAGTATAGTGAGCATTGCTGCCACGATAGACCCACAGTAATGCAGTGGTTTGCGGACAGACGGATGAGATAAATCACACCAGCGGCCGCAGGCTGCAAACGAAACTGATAACGGTAAACAACGTGCTTACCGGCTGCTGTGAGAATGCACTGCACACCTCTTGTATCGTTGATCAAGGTTAATATGCAATGCTAGACGTCGATAAAAATGAAGTTTGGTCTACGTTTGCAGTATTGAGTCACTGCAGCGTAGATGTAGGTAACTTACTGGTTAAGGCATCCGTTATCTCCTGTTCAGTTTTTCCTTTTTAAATGTGTTTAGTAAAGACCAATGCATGGCGCTATGAGTGATAAGTCGTAACTAAAAGTTTGTTAGTGAAGCGAAAAAGAGGGATTGTAGCTGCTGCACTGTCTGAAAATCCAGAGATAGGTTACGACAGCAGTTGCACACAGTATTCAAGTGGACTGTCCAGTACGGTGTTCGTTGGAGGATTACGGATCCAATTAATGCACCTATGTCCCAGTGCTCCAACCGTTGAAAGCCGTCCGGTGTTTAGATAGTGCTTGCAGAGGGGAACGCAAGGCTATAGCACAGATGGTGGACCTGAGAAGGGCCGTGAGGTCGTTCACGCAGACACGGATAATGGCAACCAGTTAGATTTCGGAAATTCACGTGCAATAGATACTTACTATCAGGAAGCCGCGGAAACTCATAACACATAGCGATCTCATAAGTGACAAGTGCTATGAAATCAGAGTACATACATTGAAGTCGCTTGCCTGTGTAAAGCGTAGGCTGCAGTGTTACCGAGGACGCTGGGTACGGCAGCGGCATTCAACGGATCCGGGAATTGTTACAGTTTCTGTTGATAGGTAAGTGAATAAAGAAACACACTCACGTGTTATCATGATGACAGACG